CTGCTTAAACTCACATTCTCTGTGATTTCGCTCATGTTTGTGCTCATATTCTCATTTTTTCCATAATGAGCATAGGCATATCGTTTTCACAAATATCAAATTTCAAACGCTATTCGGAAACTTGAATCCGTTTTTTTTCCCAAGCCATAAACATTCGATGAAAAAACGTTTCTCAAACTCAAAACCACTTGACTCTGTGATGTAGAAGAAAGGTGTAATGCTCTTAAAGAGGAGAGATTCTTCTCAAAAAACTACAAAAACATAGAAAATCGGATTGGGTGAAGTCAAAGTCAAGGTTGATGTCATTTGCATTCTTTACCCTCTTATAAAGTTATTTTCATCTTTTCTGAGACAATGAATAAATTCTGGAATTCCGAAAAAACTTTTCTCCAATCTTGTCCTGCTTTTTCCTGTTTCACTTTCTCATAAAAATAACACACTTCCCTCATTTTTCGTTTTTTTTCCCTTTCTTTCTAATTTTTCGAATGATGATCGGTAATTGAATCGAAAGACAAAAGTTTTCTTATTTTCTCTGTCTCATTTGTTGCGAAAGGAATGGATAACAATGAGCAACAGAGTCTCCGACCAAAAGAAAAGAGACAATTCGATCATCTTGGAACCTTTCGGTTCTTTTCCCTTTTCTCTGCGTATACGTCCTTCTCTTTTTTAGTTTAGTCACTTTCATAGCAGAATCCCCATGATGTGACCCCTATATCTTTTTAAAAGAATAATAAACTCTCCAGAACCAGATCTCTTGATGTTTTTCTGAGTTTCTGAAATATTCCTAATTCAAGAAGTTCCAGACAAAATGTCACATTTTCTAATTTCTTTTCTGTTTTTGAGCAGATATGGAAAACCAAAAGTATTCTAGAAAAAAATAGCCCTGGGCTATATGTTAAGACTCGCTCGGAATTTTCCTTCGTTCGAAATGTTGCGAGTTTTAGAAAAAAAGACCTCATTAATAAAGATGTGAAAATTATCCTTCTCAATTTTCCACCCTCACATTTTTATAGTAATAATTGGAAAAAAAATAAGCGATGAAATTTTTTTTCGAAATGAAAGAGCTAAACAATGATGAGATAAAATTAAGAATGGAAAAATGGAAAATAGAGGTAATTGGAAAAATTGTGAATAATGGAGGTCACGATCCTGAGGGAAAGGGCGGAGTTTAGGTGTTTGAAAAAAAATCAAACAACCTGGCGAAATGTTGTAATCTTACCTTTCTTTTCTCAATGTTTAAAAAATTTCTAAATAGAAATCAGATTAGAAGTTGAACATTTCTCAGGATGTTTCTCAACGGTTGGGTTTTTATCAACTAGAAAAGTTTGTAGATTCTCTGATTTTTTTCTCCAATTTTCACATTTTCGATTACAAATTTCGGACAGCACTAATAACTGGTATCATCTATCCCTCATTCTTGTATTGTATGCGTCTTGCGTTAGTATATGTCACATCATTCATCATTTGAAAACCTTTTTCTGCCTCTCTCTCTCTCTCTCTCTCTCTCTCTCTCTCTCTCTTTCTCTTTCTCTCTTTCTTTACTTCCTATTTTCATCCGCCTCCTCTTCTATTTTTGGGACCCTTTTGAATGTCTGAAGAATCGTGGAAAAATAGCCTGGAGGGGTCTGTTTTAAAATCTGTGTAGATAGACAATCAGAAATCATTTATTTTCTTTCATCCTCCCACCCATCCTTCCCTTTTTCCTTCTTCTCCTTCGGGCTCTTTGAATTTCATTTTTCTCAGCCTGACTTTTATGTGAAATTCAATTAAATCAAGCGAGGGAAGAGGAAAAATAGAAAATAAATCTCCTTCTCATTTTAAGGAATGATATCTAGTCTGGAGAATTTAAATCTATCAAATTTCATGTATAATGTCATTTTTTGGGGAATTTGGGGGAAGCTTTTTTTAAAGAATGATCATTTAGTCTTACTAAACATTAAAATTTGTGCTTTTTTCAATTGAACTGTCAAAGAAACCAAAAACTTGAATTTCTGGTTACGAAATTCTGAAATTATGAAGGCTTAGTTTTTTTAGAACAATTTTAAAAATATTTTGATAACTGATGTTCTGCAACCTTAATTCATCATTGCAATCAAAAATGAGTCACAAAAAATGAGATTTAAATTTGGCTTTGCTGAACTTGATCCCTCTCTAGTACTTTTTTCACATGGGAATCAATTAAATTAGATTTTTCATAACATTTTTTGTCTGGAAAAAAACATACAAATGATTTGTCTCAAATATTTTTTAATTTTTTTGGTAGGATTGATTCCTTTAAAAACATTCCCAAAGCATTCAAACAATTTTAAAGAAATTCAAACGGTTTCCTGTTTATTAGACTCGGAGATTCGAACAAAAATCTGTGCTATTTATCTTCTCGCTTGTTTTTAGGAGATTATTTTTCGGTTTTTATAAGCATGTAAGCAAATAAATGTAATAGTTTTCATAAGCTAAGATTCCAAATCTTTCATGATGATTTTTATAGTTAAATTCTTCAAAAATGTTTATACTTTGTCTGTCATTTATCTTCTTTCTTCTGTGTTTTATTTGATCTTGAGATTTGGATCTCGAAAATAAGATCGTGGTCTTTTAAATAAGATTTTAATTTCAACATCAAGGTTTTCCAATACACAGCTCTTAAAAGACCGAGAACTTTCTGAAAATGTCTCGGATATCTCAACAAAAAACCCCTTAGCCTCCATATATTTATGGCTATTTTTTTTTTGAATGTCCATCGACCATTTTTCCTCTTTTCCCAAAATTTTCCATTAATATTTCAGCACCTCCTCGCTTTTTTCAAATTTTCCCTCAAAAATTGTTGCCGCCGGTTTTTATTCCGGAAAATTGTCCGTTTACCTAGTATAACAAATCTCAGAGTTTTCTTTCTTTCCGGCCATTCAAAATCTCTGCTGGTCTCAAAAAATAGGAGTGCGACATTTTTTTTTTCAATTTCCGGTTTGAAACTTTGAAGGCCAATTTTCGCTTTTGAAAAAGCATAATTTTGAATTTTCAAAGTCCTGATCACAATTTTTATGAAAACAAATTTTTAGAACGGTAAAACAAAGAAAATTCTTTAAAAGTTCAATACTTTTTGTTTTCTAAAAATATTTCCAACAGTTTTCTAAAGGTTAAAAAATTGAGCCTAATAACTGTCTAGGAATATGAGTCACAATGTGTAGCCTAGATATAGTGCATAACACAAGAAAAAACACCAGAAATTTGAACTTCACACGGAGATTTGATTTCCTTTTCGTCGGTTTTTTATAAATTTAGTGGACAAGATTTTTTCAACATTTCAGCCAAATTTGATTCTTTCTTCTTCTGATTTCCTCTGCATTTTCATAGACAAAGAATTTTTTCTGATTTTCGAATACGTAGAAAACGGCAAAAGTGGAGAAAAAGAGAAATTGAGGATTATTTCCTGACGACACATTTTTGTGACGTTGTGAGAAAACGAGGGTTGCTGGGCATAACAGAATAACGAATTTCGAATTTTTTTAATGCAGGATTTGTCAATTATTTGTAGAAATGAAAGCTTTGAAAATTACGCAGCATCTAGTGTGACACATAATGAAACCAAATGAAAAGTTTGAAAAAACAGGTCGCAAGGAAAAAATTTACTTAAAACAGTATAAAGAAAACAGAAAATTTCAAAAGAGAGATTTTGGAGTTCAAAATTTAAAAAGAGAGATTTTGGAGTTCAAAATTTAAAAAGAGAGATTTTGGAGTTCAAGAATCTCAAAAATCAGTATTTTGAGATCTCAAAACCACTCGTTTTCAAATATTACTTTTCAATACAAAAAAAACAAACTGGCTGAATCACAGAAAAAACCTAAATTACTGAATTCAAAATTTCAAAACTTTTCAATTCGTTCCGTACTAATGAATGATGTTTTAGGTTAAAGTTTCTTCCTTCTTTTCTTTTACTATTAGTTTCCTTTTTCATTTTTCGATAAATTGAAAAAAAAAATAGCGTGCCAGACAGCACTTTTCTAATTTTCTCATGGAATTTTCAATTTCTCTCGCTTCCTGCTCTTGTTCCGAATTTTTTATGATGTGGTTCTCGGAAACAAAAACATGATTCTCATTCTCTTTTTGTTTCGAGAAGTTATTATTACATGAACATATGGGAAAGCCTTTCTCATTCGACTTCATAATTTTTATATGTGCATCATTGAAAATTCGGAAAAGCTTCAGAATTTTAGAAGACGTCATTTTGAAATTGAAATACTTGAGATTTCCTTTCCTAAAGTTTAATGTGAAAAAAAATCATTTTTTGTCACTAATTAGGTCAATTTCAAAAATTAATTCAAATTGGTTTTTAACACCGAAAAATTAGCATAAAAATTCAAACTTTTTATGGTACATCAAATTTGATCTTCCTGATTTTTCCAGATTTTTCCTTTTTCTTTCTTTCCAGTTTATTTTTATCGTTCACTAATCCTTTAACTTGTATGTCTATTCATAGTGAAATTCTCATTTCTCATACTTAGGGGTTTCTCTACTCTTTTATCGACCCCCTCTGTTTGGAATTTCTAATGGGTTCTAAAATAAAAAAAGGGAATTATTTTTCAATGTTTTGAAATTGGAACAAAGGTATTTTACTTTTTCAGCGGAAACTTAAACTTATCAGAACATTGCAAGAAGATTTTTTTCGAAATTCGCATTATTCTCAGTTTCTATTATTTTCCAGTTCTCCCAATTTTCTAGATATTTTTTCTAGATATTTTTTTTCTGTTTTTGTCTACGGAATTTTCCCACAAGTATCAAATGTGTTCTTCTCTTCTCCGATTTTCATCTGCTGATATTCTGGCTTTCCGATTTGTGGATTCTCGAAACTTTTAGATACTTGAACAATTTGATCGAAATTCAAAAAATTTAAGTCTCTGCATTTTCAACTTTAACGTTTTTTTCATGTTTGTTTCGAATAACCCGAAAATTGAATTTTCCCAAAATCTTTTGAGTTTCAGGACATCGCTCAAATAAATTCCGAAGCAAAAATGGGAAACGAAAATTCATCGCTTGTAAAAATCAGGAGAGGCAGCAAAGAGCCGAGTGTGATTATTGAATGTGTGGATGCTAAAAAGTGAGTTATATTGTTTTTTCTTCAACAGAAAAGGAGGAAAGTCAAAAAAGAAAAGTCAGGTTTTATGTTCAAGTGCCCCGCCTTCTTTTTGAGCTCACTGAGATCATTTTTTTTCTTTTTTTTATCCGTTTAAAACTTATCTGAATAAAAATTCTCTTGTAGAAGTTTTTGAAAGAATTCTGAAGAATTCTGCAAGAAATATGAGAAAATTGTAAAATCAAAGTGAATGATATATGATATTTAGATTTATGTGGGAATCGTGTCCGATTTCTTAGAATTTCTCAGAATGGAAATTCTTTTTTCACTTCTCACATATTTGTTTAATACAGTTTCTTATTAAATGCCGTTCTCATGAACACTTGCGTTTGAAAAGTTTTAGCTATTTCTGATATTCCATAATTCTGAAATGCTAGAATTCGAAGTTTTGTCAGATTTCCTCAGATCCAAAATTTGGAATTTCGGTATTTCTAAAACCTTAAACCCGAACGTTATCCAGAATTGTATGCTCCTTTTCTCCTTGTTCTGTCAAATGACCACATTTCTCCTGGGGCATCCCAGGACTCTCTCTCACACACACACACACAAGGGCCACTCCATCATTCCTCAGGCGTGTAGACACTTTTTTGACGAAAAACAGAAAAAAAGTGATGAGTCGTTCGGTTATTTTTTTTGGGTTTTTTTTGGGCTTTATTTGATTTTCACCAGTCTTTTCATTTTCCCTAATTTCCGGGTTGTTATTGTTTTTCGGCAGAGCAGTTTGGCGGCACTCTGCATGTTTTCTTTATGAAAAATGGCTCCAATCTCATCTGGAGTTAATTTGAACTATTAGTTAGCGTTTTTGACCTGCTATTCCACGATTCGATCTCTTCCACTTCAAATGTTTTCATGAGTTTTTTTGTAAATTTAAAAATTTCTACTTTCTTTCCTAATCTTTTTTTGAAAAAAAAACTCGAAGATTCTTTTTTCCCAATAAAGGCTGAGGGATAGAAAAAAGATAAAAGGAAACTGGAGGGACAAATTCAATTTCTGTAGGGCCCGATTTGGGAATGAAAAAAAGAAGAGCGAGAGACAAAAAAGTCTCTCCTCTCTTACTCAATTTTCAATTCACTAGACCCCGTATTTTTATGCCGCTCCTAGATTTTCGCCCACACTGGAACCATTTTTTCCTGAAGAATCTCAAATACAAAAAAAAACGGTAGAGGGTGTCAAAACAGAATGTATCACACATTTTGATCGTCGTTCAAAATTTTCAGGAACCTTTTTTTTGAAAACTGCGATTGTTTCCGTAGCCAAGTATTATAAGTTGAATGATCTAGATTTTTAAAGTTGAGACTTCCTGGTCCTTTTCAAAATACTCTTTTTAACTTGAGAGCCTGCAAAGACGAAATTCGAACTGACCCATTTACTTCTTAGTTATATTCTCTACCAGTAATAGATCCGTTACGGGTGTGTTGCAAATATCTTCGCAGTCAGTTTATTAAAGTTGTTATACCGTAAAACATGTATTAGAAGGACCGGCACCTTCTATTTTTTTTGTGGGATCTCTAGGGAGACCCTCCAATTAGAGGGTCCTCCTAATACAGGCTTAGCGGTAACCTATAAACTATCGTTACATCATTTGGTCTGCAATAAAATCGGTGATCTTTGAAAAATCTGAAATGTGATGAGCAATGTTCGAACCATGAGTAAATTTGCTCGCGGCACTCTTTCGGGATAGCTTGGTCTCAACTAATCGGCCGTCTGGTACCCCCGGTTTTCCGGGGAGAAGAACAAAAACAAAATAATCTTGGTCCGAGAATGGGTGACCAGAGTTCGATGAATATTGTTAGTATTTTTGTAAGTTCAGCGGAGGTTAGCAGAGGGAAAAACGATTGAGAGCATAAAGTTGAACTAAAAATACTTTCAGAACATTTTTGAAATTCAAGAATTTTAGAAACGTTTTCCGTAGTCTCAAAGTCAGATTCCGAATTGTCCTATTTTTCTGTGTTTTGTTTTCTTTCCCAAACATTTTCTTGTCTTAATGAACCACATCTTTCTTGTATTTCTAAAGCAATCAAGTTGATTAAAGATGATGGAAAAAAACGCCCCCTCTAATCGGAGAAATGGAAAAATGAGAATAAATAGTTACTTTTTCTGGTATTCAAAAAGTTGGTGTCAGATGAATTATTCCAACTTTTGCTGCCTTCCTTCAGATATATTCTTCTTTTATTAAAACTTCATCCTTCCATCTCCTACCCCCCGCCCTTTTAAAATATAGAAAATTCCAGTTTTTTTCACATGGTTTTCCAAATGTTTTTCAGAGACCAGCACACTCCAGTTTATCGGAAAAAATCGAGGAGAAGTGTGAGTCAATCCCGTCCAACATCAATAATAGAGTCGAAACGATCTACAATTGTACCGCCCATTCCAGCATTAATTAAGGGACAATTGAGTGGAGAAGACTCGATTAGCATTGGATCAAGAAAAAGTTCAGGTTGGTCTTTGAAGCTTTAAGAAATCGGTTTCCTAGAAAACTGTATACACAGATGTTCGGCCCAAGCTTTTTGTAAAATTGTATTTTAAATAGACCATTTTCTGAAGAGGGGATATTTTTCCTTCTGATATTGATTGTCACCAACTAAACAGGAAAAGGAAAAATGTGTATTATTTGTTTTCGAATGTTTACGAATCAAAAGAACGACATGATAATTCTCGTCAAGAAAGTTGATTTGCTTGTTTTTCTTGAGGTTGATGGCTCAGTTTCCGAATAAAGCTCATGTTCCCAAAAAAAAGCATATTTTTCTATAATTCAAAGACGGAAAATAATAGAAAATGACTCTCAATTACCGGGAAAAAATTTAATGAATATTTAGGTCCTAGAATTTATATTTAAAAAATAGATATATCTCTTATTTTTTCCAGTAATAAGCTGTCCACGAAATGCTCACCCCCATATTGCATTTGGTCTTTTTTCTTGTTTTCCCTCGTATTTTATGTTTTTTTTTCCTCATCAAATTCCCCTCCCCAATTTTTCTCTCCATTTTTTTGGTCGTCAATAACATCACATTTTCTAGAACACATGTTTTATATTTTTAGTTTTTGGACTAGAAATCGAAACCAATATAATATCACTTCAAGAAATCATACTTTCACGTCATGGAAAAGTGAAAATCTTCAATAATTATGGCGTTATCTCACCACAATTTTCTTCCAGTTTCCAACTTTCGGTTATCATCCGACGGTTCTGGAGATTCCCTTCTGAGTCCATTGACGGCTTCATCAAACGATCGGCGACGAAGCAGAAGTCTTTGTTCAACACAAATGAAGGACGACGCACAGGTGAGAATTTAGGGTTGCTGTTTGTTTTTTTTTTTAAAAAGGAAGCCTGATTTTTTTAAAGTTGAAAAATCATACAACTTTTATTCTTAGTGCAAGCTCACTTCAGCTTCCTCCATTATTTCCTCTTTCTTTCTAAATGAAAATGTTTCCCTTTTTTGTACAGAAAGATAACATTTGAAGCTTCCAAAATCCCCACGGATTTCAACAGTATTTAGTTTTTAACAGTTTTTCAAATATGTATTTGTGAATGTTCCGAGTGCTAATTCAATTATCAGAAAATTCTCTAGAAATACATAGATGGTTGTGCTTCTATATATTTCCCACATTTTCCGCCATTAATAATATAATAATTATAAAAAATAATTTCCCCTTTTTTTTGAATATCTTGCCAACCTTACATGTTTACCATTTTCTTCCCCATTCTCTAGGTTCATCTCGCTAGGGATTTTATCTAGAACTCCCGTTATAACTTTTGTGCCATATTTTCTTCTAATCAATAAATTATTATATTATATTATTATAAAATCGTCGAAAGAAGCTCCACCCTCTAAATCTTCAGATTTTCCGGATTATAGGATAATACTGGAAATCTGAAATACTTTATTCTAAAGAATTTCATGTTTCGAAATTTGTGAGACTCTAGTTTTTCCGCCAAAGATTTCCGTAGACATTTAGCAAAATGACGTTAAAACTTAAGAGTCAAAGAAAAATGCATCAATCTATTATTCATGCTATATTTTTTGTGTTCAAAGTTAGAAAGGTAGGATTTCAAGAATTTCAATTTTAAAGGTTATTTTACATTTTCAAACAGCTCATTTTCAAAGTTAGAGAGATTTGGTGTTGTAATCAAAAAACTAACAAAGAGAAAACACTTTTTTCATGATTACTTAAATTTAAGGCAGTGGCTGCTCAGCAAAACAAGGAAGACAAAAATGCAGGTAGCGGTGGAAGAAAAGCATCTAGTGGACTGGTTCCATCATTGAACCGACTCCGAATTCAGCAATGCTTTAAGGCGGCAAAGTGAGTTTGCATTTATTTGCTTTTTAGTACTCTGATTGTGAGACTTTTAGATCCTGAAATCATGAGACTCTTATTTTGTAAAAAGTGATTCCAACTTCTCCCCATCATTTTCTTCAATTTCTCAACACCTTCCAGACCTTCAATAGGCGATGCAATAATGAAGAGAGCAGCAGCATCTCGGGCCGAAATGAGAGCTCTACTATCGAAAATGAACGAAAAACAAATTGAGTGTTTGGGGAAGCAAATGTTCGAATTGATCACAGACGCTGTCGAAAATGCGGATAAATCAGAGAAGGTGGGGAAAAATTGAAAAACAGAAGGCGCTCAATTTTATTATGGTCATATCTTAGAAGATGATGGAACTTTCATTGCTAAGAAGTAGTCAATTTAATGAAAAGGAAAATATATTCTCTTCGCTATCTGATAATAAAAGATCATGGCATTCTGTTAATATCTGAAACCACCCTTAAAAGATTTGCCAAACATACGAAATCCTCAAGTGTGACCTAGATTAACGATATTGAATGAATCGATATAATTGTGAACTTATTATTGAGTTTAGTGTCAGAGGAGCCTCGTAATATCGGATTAGGAAAAAAACATCTTTAGAAAATTCTAGATCATCTTCGACATCATGCGTCAGAAGATTTGTTTTTGAAATCAGACCGCAATAGACCAATAAATGCACCAAGTTCTATTTTGTTTCAGGTTTTAACCCACGCTCGTCAATTTGGTGGAACCTACGCCTCTCTGTGCCCTCTCGGATTCCGACCGGATCTTTTCTCCCCACTGGCTGACGCTGCAATTGCAGAATGTGTCAAATTGGATGGAGTTCATAAAAGATGTGAGACACTGTCGGCATGGAGTCAGCTGTTTTCGGCGCTTTTCACGGGAGTTCGAGATGGATATTATCAAAGAGTCAGGCACCAAAGAAGAACTTCTCTTCCCCAGAATACTATCACCAAACAGGTAAGACGGGATTTCTAAGATTTTCAGATTATTAAGGATTCCTAGATATTTTAGATTCTCAAATTTTTTCATTTTTAATTCAGATCTTATCATTTTAGTTCAGATTTAATAATCGATCAATCCTCAATTTTTCAATTTTCCAGCTCTCTGTCGATTTCTCCAAAACTTGCGACACTAGTTTCGTCCGATGAGGCAACAATTTGTATTTGTCGATTTTCCTTACAACATTCAGTATCTTCATAATTGGATTCCCGTCTATTTCCATCCAGCACTTTTGAAACTTCCACCTTTTGTAACTCAGTTTGTTTGAACTACTTCGATTTTTTGATGTTGGCGAGCTGACAGGATCCACATAACCTCATCAATTTTTCCTCTTCCTGTCTGGCCTTATAGATTACCGACACTCTATTTCCCTCCCATTTCTCACACTCAACAAAAATCTCAAACATTTCCTTTTTTTGTCTTCTCCTTCTCCTTTTTCCAGGGTCTGTGTATATTGATTAAAATGATCTCTCGTTTCATTTTGTTGTGAAAATCAAACGATCTATTTATATATTCATGTTTTTTTCGGTTTTAACTTTTTTCTTTTTTGTCAAATTATTTGTGCTAAAACAATAAAACATTCACATATATCTTTTCTTTTCTTTTCATTCACTAGTGAAAGTAACAGTTCCCAAGCTTTTGGTTACATTCTCATTAGATGCTGTTTTTTTGGAAGATTTCGTATTATTTTTGGATATGCTCGACACGGTGGATGATGAAGTGTTGGAACAGTAGGCGGCTAGATCAGCAGCTTCAGTTGGATTCGTCAGACTTTCCACGTCAGTTGGCAGTTTTGTGTTCTAAAAAGGAAATATATCGAAAAGGTATGTCACATACAGTAAAACCTGTATAAAAGGGGTCTGAACCTTATCAATGAAAAATTTGTTTGAATTGTTTTAAAGCTACATTGGTTTATTGAACGATCTAGAATGACACAATAGAGGGGCTTTTATACTGATTACATGATAAAGAAATTAATAAAAGAAAGTGATTGCGGGGGATGTGATGCACATTCCCCGGTGAATCACCACCAGAAGTGTGCGATTTAGCACATGAATTGAACAATTTTACAGAATTCCAAACTTCTTTTTAGATAAAAGACTAATTGAAGGACCCCAATTCTAAAAGGACCCTCTGGAAATACAATGAGAAAAGAAATAGAGACCGATATTTCTAATACAGATTTTACGAAAGATTAAGCTCCTAGTCACCTTGGTCTCATTCAACATGAACGCCAGTGTGGCTGAAATAAAACTAAACAAAGCAATAACGACGTATGGAAGCCAGTTGGGAGACATGGCCTGAAAACAATTGTGGATTTTCTTAAATCGTTGCAAGTAAAAAGTAAAAACTCACAATATGCTTTAGGTATGGGGACATGATGATTCCAAGACTTTGTGGGACATTCATCAGAGAAAAACATAGCGATCTAACAGAAGTTGGAAACTGTTCGTTTGCCCAAATTGGATGAACAGAGTAGATGATTCTGAAAAATGTCGTTTGTGGTATTCTCTGGATTTTCGTATGTTTTAAATCTTTAATTATTTTTAATTCTCTAATGTTCAGATTCTTCAAAACTCACGTGGCCATAATCTTCGCTACCAACATCATCGCTAAATTCATTTCATACGAATGCAGGAAAACCGTAACTGCAATCAAGGCTAACGTTTGAAAAACCAGGCACCAGATGACAAGGGTTTTCCGTCCCATAAATATCATCAAGGGTAATACCGAGAGGCCAGCTGCAAAAAAACATTTTTTCTAAAGTACCGTAAAACCAGTACTAGAAACTACTTGTTTTGAAATGAAATGTTTCGAAATGAAAGGAAAACACATAGATAGTCTTATCAAAACTTTGTTATTGAACCACCTGGAATTTCAACAATTGAAGAGAATAAAAATGCCTGGACATGATCCCCTCCCAACTCAGCGCACAAAAATGAAATGGCAAAATAGACTAAGGAAATGACCATTCTGGAAAATTTTCAATCAGGTTTTCCGTTTTCTCTGATATCCTAACTCGATAAATCCATTTGCGAAAAGTATCCAAATCAGTTTTTTACTTCCCAACAGAGCCTTGAATGATTCGTGTTTTTCCTCGTGATAGGAACTTTGTTGACATTCCGAGAAGTCTGGCGTTTTTTTGTTGATTCTGAAATCTTTTAAAAACTGAATATATTCATGAAAATGTCATTTTTTACTATGGATCCTTCTATCTAAAGAAACTCTAGAAAGATAAAATTCTAGACCACAAAAACACGGCCTCGCGGAAGGGGACCTAGATTTAAAAATTGGAAAGCGCGCCAAGTTTGGACGCGTTGTGCGGTCGCGTCGCGGCTTTTCGGTGAGTAGCGACTCAACAACGCTTAACTTCACGTATTTTTCAAAACACCTTTTGAAATTTTCGAATCTGGCATGAAGCCAACTTTTGTGCGCGACGAAGCGCGCTTTTTTTCAGATTCCCAACCGCGATGCCGTGAAAAAAAAAACAAACTCAAAATCGATAGTATCCAAATCCGAAAATTTTTCTGAATTTCTACTCATAAATTTTACAGTGTTCTAGCCCGCTTATAAATGTATACCTATTTGCCGTTTCAATGTATTTCTTTAACTTTTCTGTTCGATTTTTCACAATTAGCCAGTGTGGAGACTCAGGAAGAAAACACCACAATAAAAATGCATAAATTCCAGGAAACACGACTATAAAGTATCTCCATCTCCAATCAGTAGTCATCAAAGTGACTAAAAGAGTCCACACCATTCCTAAGGACCATGCCACGTTGTAGACTACAGTAATCCATGCACGAGCTTTCTCGGAAATGTATTCACATGTAGCAACACTTCCAACGGAGAGATAGGTCTGAAAAATCAGAAAATTAGGATATCGAACACTTCACAATTCACTCAGAAAAACAAGTCCAAACCCAAAAAACTCACATCACTACTGGCTCCTACTATAGCTCGTAAACATAAGAAAACAGCATAATTTGGACTGAAAGAAGCTGCTAAATTAGCCAAAAAAGCCAAAATTGCAGAAAACACAATAATCGGTTTTCTTCCATATTTATCAGCTAACATTGACATAATTGGTACAGCAACTATTGCGGCAATTGTGAAAATAGTAAGTCCAAATTCTTGAAAAAACCAATGAGAGCATGAAAGATTGAAATCTATGAGAAGGTTTGTTTGAGCTGTATGCTTTGTGATTCTGGAAAGAGTTATATTTTTTCAGTCCAAATTTTGCACTTTTGGAATTCCCAAAATTTCCAAAACCTTGAATTCTTTTTGGATTTTAAGAATTTCAGAAATCAGATTTCTCCAAAACATTCTTAGAACTTAGGTTCTGTAATTTCGATATCAAAGTGGGAATTTAGAATGTATTTTTTCTCGAAAAGTGAAGGGTCGTCAAGAATATTTCAAAGACATATAAACTTGATGTGCGTTATTAGCTTCGAAAACTTTAACTTTCAGTCAAAAACTGAAAACTTGAACATTTCTTAATCAATAAGTTTTAGATAAAACTAACTTAATTTCAGTTCCAGTTACCACACCACATTGCTCACCAAAACCGTGATGTTTTTCATCTTCAATAGAGCAAGTTTGACTCATTGACAAAGTCTGAAATTTTGAAATGTCAGGAGAAAGTGCGCTCCATTGATAAAACTTTATTCTTCGCAAAATGAAACACAATTCCTACCTCATTCTCATAAACGCATGTTTTCTCCAAATTTAATTGCACGAAACTCATAACATACATCGACGAAGAATAGAAAAAATTGAGAGTTTGTACTAAAATGTAGGTCAAAATTTGATATTTCCCATAGTTTCCGTACGACTGAACGAACTTATCCGGGTCCAATTTTTTCAGATGACCCTCCACGTCTTCTTTCTTTGAAATTCAAAATTAGCGTTTTCTAATGATTTTAAATACCTTTTCAGTGTTTTCATCTGAATTTTCTGTCTTCATTGAATTAAATTGTTCATAATTCCGTCTTGAAATCGACATTTATTCATGAAAATTGATTTTCTCTGTTTGCTGCTGTCTATTCCCATCTCAAATTCCACACTTTAATTGAGCTAGTTTCCGAATTTCTCGTGAAAATTATTTTTCGAACACCGCGCGCATTCCGGTGTGCAGCAGGGCGCGCTTGCAATATTTCGCAATTTTCCGATTTTCCTGATTGTGTTCCACCCACATTCATTCAAAATAACCTATTTCCTATATTTTCTTCAGATTTTTTTTGCGAAAAATTGTGAATAGTTTTTGAAAGTTGTAGGAAATGCACCCAGAGCAAAAGAAAACGTTCAAGGAGAAGAACGACATTCGAAACAAGCTTTTCAAGTCGACGAATGCGGATAGGCAAGATTGGAGAAAAAGTGAGTGGTTTTATAGACTTTTAGGAGGAAGGATATAGTGTTTTTTATAAAATTTCATTCGAAATTCATTGAAATTTGCAGTAAAAGACGAGAAGAAGCGAAAAAACGAGAAAAAAATCATCAGAGAAGCTGAAGAAGCGAAAAAAGCGAGAATCGAGGCTGTCGATCATAGTGAGTGGTTTAAAGGCGTAACTTTCATGTTAAAAACGATTTCAGCACCTCCATTCACAATTTCTATCGCTGTACCCGGTCAATTCCTGAATAATGCACAATCCAGCGAACTTCGCACTTATATGGCTGGTCAAATCGCACGGGCGGCCACTTTATATCGTGTTGATGAAATTATCATCTACGATGAATCGTGTCGAATGACAAATGAGTGAGTTTTTTGTTTTAAAATTTCGAGTTTTTCCAATTCAGAAATCGATTTTCACATTGAAAAATCGTTCACCAAAAATTGTGTTTAAGTAAGCTGAATCAAAATCTCTTCCATAATGGGGTTATTCATGTAGCGAAACTGTGTATTTCAAAACACATTCAATACATATCGGTGGTACCGTATTTCGCGACACTCCTGCATTGGTTTGGAGACTCTACACGTTTTTTTACTCGTTCACCCGCGCGATTATTTTGAATAGACAATACATGAATAACCCCATAAAGAATTTTCTGTGGAGCGTAGAGTAAAATAAAAATTTCATGTTACAGATTTATTGATGAGTGGATACTATTAGATAGTTATTTAATTGAAAAAAAATTTAACTTCTGAATGAAGTTAGAGATTATTGTCTATTCAAAATAATCGCGCGAGTGAACGAGTGAAAATTTCTGCGTCTCTACAGCGCCTCTACAGGTTTGGAGACTCTCTACACGTTTTTTTACTTGTTCATCCGCGCGATTATTTTGAATAGACAGTCGAGGTTTTGAGAGAAAAATAATTAAAAGGTTAATTAGGTGAGTGTTTCGTGAGATCTGAAGTTTTTAAAGGCGTGAGAATGATGGATAATACAACAAAACTAGTGAAGCCATGATCTTCTTGCTATTTAGAATAGCTGATTATGTACTGGAATCATTCGAGTCATTTGTGCCGCTGAGAAATCGACATACTGGAAATGTGGCTCCATTGGCGGCATCGGTAATTCGAGACGTTGAGCATTTGGACCAATGTAAAATTCCGACGACGTCATTGATTCCGGAGAGAAATGGACTGGTGTTTGAAACACTTCCTCTGGTCTTTTGAATGTTGCAGTTTCGTTTGATCTTTTGATGCTTCGAATTTTGAATTTCTTTAATCTTTGCACCAACTGAACTTCTGAGGTTTGAGCATGAACGTAATAATTCTGGAAATTAGATTTTGAAATATTTTGAGAATCCTAAAAGTTTTTTACCTTGAAATTGGAGAATGATTGAAATCTAGGGGCTTTCCATTTTTCCTCCGTCTTAACTGGCTGTCTCGGTGAGCATCTAGTGAGTATTTTGACCGGGAACTTATTATAACTGATCGGCTTTACTGTATCCAACGGAAGCAAACGATAAGGAGCGCCCAGAGCCAAAGTAGATGTTAATTCCGAAGACGTCTGTCCTGCTCCTCGCAATTTAAGATTCTTTGCAAATTTGAAGGTTCCGTAGGTTCCTTTTTCAGCGACCCTATTCGGCTTGACCTCCTGAAGCCAAGAAGTTGGGAAATATTTTGATAGTGGCATTTCCATAGTCTCAGCCTCCGAGAATGGAGTCTGGAGATTTCGGGTCTTTGAAAATTGAGAATTCCGGGAAGGATTCTGACAGTCCGCATATTGAAACAGGTCGTTTTGAGTTGCAGAGTTTTGGCTTTGCGACGAAATATATTCGCCCATATTCTGTCCTTTGTAAGACTTCTTGATAAGATTCTGCATTTGGTATTCATCTCCAGCAATGTTGTTGTCAAGATTGGCTGATTTCAAAACCTCTATTTGCGCTCCTGATTCCAACAATTGATCTTCTGTGAAGTACCGAGTATTTTCCGTTTCCTGTAGATAGAGGAATTCAGTTTTCACCTGTTTTTCACGCTGCCACGATTGGTTGAAAGAACTGTTCATTTTTGGTCTGAAAATAATAGATTTAGGGCTAAGTTATCGAAAAGAGAGCAATGCAGCATAACATTTGGAAAAGGCTAGTCGGGGAGATAACCACAGTAAACTACGAGAAAACGGAGCAGTAGTTACTGGAAAGACTAACAACCGGTCCTTCACATACCCAGGTGGACCTGGCCAATCCCCAATTCGTCCATACTTTGGGCTCCTGGGAATGAGAATCGATGTGATAAGTGTGTGTAAGACAATTGTTTTACTGCATACGGTTAGTGGGTCCCCATAAAAGACATCATCGTTGTGTCGACGTGGTAATGACAATGTGAAGATGCATCAACCTTTTGAACTAATAATAATAAATAACTAATTAATATAGTTTAATCTACTAGATAAGTCGGAGACTGAATTTCGACAAACTTAAAAAATCAAGCTTCCTAAATATTTCCTAGCTTCCACGAAAAAATAGGGTTTCGACCAAATGTCGATTTGATTTGAAAATTCAAAGGAATTATTTCTAGATCCGTCAACGCCTACTACAATGGAAATTGGGAAGGTAGTCTCCTCCCTGCTGAATCCAACTACGAAGGATGTTTCTATTTGGCAAAAATACTCGAATACCTGGAATGCCCTCAATACCTCCGTCGTGATCTTTTCCCTATCCAGAAACCATTGAAATACGCCGGTCTTCTGAATCCTCTCGATGCTCAACATCACCTGAAATCCGATGAAAAAACGTTCAAATTCCGTGAGGGAGTCGTGTTAAAAAAGAGATCTAAAGAAGGACGAGGACCAATTTGTAACATTGGATTGGATAAGGAATTCGAAATTGATACTGATACAATCACATTACCACCATATACAAGGGTTACTGTAGAAATCAAGAATCTGAATGAGCGTGAGTTTCCACCTAGAATGTTTTAATGTTTTTTTTTTTTCTCAAGTGCAGTCAGGTTTTCTATTGTCCTCTTTTTTTTTCAGAATGCAAACTCTACCGGGGAAGCATTACCAGCGGAACCAGGGTCACTCGAGAGACTGGGCAATATTGGGGATATTCGGTTCGATTAATGACTGGATTGCAGAAGGTTCTCGAAGGGTAAGTTTTTCATCGTTCCAACGGTTTTCGCCTATTATATGATATTTTATACACACATGTTATAGATATGATATTTTAAACGAACATTTTCGACTGCCCTCAGTGTGACATATTTAAAAATGTTAACAAAGTTGTGTAATCTTGGAAGTCAATTTAATTGATTTCGGCAAATACTCATCCGCTTTGATATTATCTGCTATTTACTCGTCTGCTATTTTAGCTCATCTGCTATAGCTGGATCATCTACTATATTGGTTCGTCTGTTATAGATCATCTGCTACGAGGGTCATCATCTTCACCTTTTTCGCTGATTTTTTTTTCAGAATATGCTTTTCTGTTTTCAATTATAGGCTTAGAATGAAGTTTCGGGAAAGAATAACGTTTTAGTTTAAGCCTGTAGTACATTAGATGATCTTCCTTATAGCACACAAGACAAATATAGCAGATGATTCAGCTATAGCAGATGAGCTAAAATAGCAGACGAGTAAATAGTAGATAATATCAAATCAGATGAGTATTTGCCATTGATTTCCCATCATTTCAGAAAGAAGTTCGACATCGTCGCAGGTGTTTCGCCACGCGGAAAGCTCGCCTCCCAGGTGGACGTCTGTATCCTCAATAAGCCGTGAGTTTGAGAAAAGATAGGCGTCCTTAGATACGCTTGTTCATACATGTCAAGAATTCCTGGAATTAGAGTTGACAAGCAAAAAAACTTTTTCTGTGTTAGTTTAATAGCTCGCCAACCGATACCATTAAATTCCCCTCATGATTTTATATATAATACGAGCAAGTTGCGAGCTAGATCGTCAAAATTGAGCCATTTAAAAAATATTGACGAGCACGATCCAACTGGATCCAGGAATTCAAAACATGTATGCGCTTGTTTTGAGAGATCTACAATTTATAGTATTCCTCACTTTTCAATCAGAGTGACCCAATATTTTTTCCAGAAAAATTCTTCTCGTGTTCGGTGGAGTATCTGGAGTGGATGCAGCAGTGGAATCGGAGGAATTGGCTGAATGGCGTCGTGCCGAAGATGCATTCGACGTGCTAATCAGAACGACATCACTTCCAAATGGATCTCGAAGCGAAAGAGTTGAGGAGAACGTGTTGTCTGTGTTGGCGCAGATGCAGTGCCGGTTGGAGACGTTGAATCAGTTGTAACATCAAATAAACTGTTGTGCTGAAATTCTATTTTTTGTTACCAATTGTTTCTTCAAATTGACCCAACATATTACAAATAATGATACCCTCTCAGTTGTTTCCCTCACTATCAGTGTTTCTTTAAGTCAGTCGATTGGCTCATTTTTTTAAACAAATATCCTAAATTACTTTTTCTCCAAGCTTTCCTTTCAGTTTGTTGTTGAATTTCATTGTTTTTTTTTGTTATCCCAGTTATACTTTTTATTTTTATCCTCTTCCTGACTTTAAACTTTTTCAGAACATAAAAAGTAATTTCTTTTGGAATCCCAAGATTTTCTTTCCTTTTCCTTTTTCATTTGTTTTTCCTGGGTCATCGACCTTGATTTTTTATTGAAATCTTGTTGATCCCTTCCCATCACTTCCAGAATATAATTTCGGTCAGGAAAAAAAAGCGATTCTTCAACATGCTTCGAACGGTCAACATGCTTCCAGCCGTCTCCAAAAAGGTAGACAACAGTAAAGAATTCTAGTTAAAATTGAAAAATGTGATCGTCATCGCCCTTTTTCTCCCAATCGTTTTCTTCTGAGAATTCAGAAAATTTTCTTTACAAAACAATTTTTATTCTGAATTTTCATCCGAAATCCGATCACTTTTCTGTGTTTCATTATACAAAATATTCATCCTGATAGTTTTTTTTTCAAACCTCTGGTATTCCAGATAATGGCTCCATCCTCGTCGGTTTTCCTCCGAACAAACATTCGCGAATTGACGAATCAATCGAAGAATGTGTATGCGACGCAGGAAGTTATCATTGGTGAGCAGAAGAAGAAAAGTGAGTTTTTTTGTTTTCGAAACACTCAAAGAATATATTGAAAATTCAAAAATTCAAAAGCTTGAAAAATGACAGTTTCCACTTATTATTCTCTATAGTTTAGCCTTTGCTCATTCTTCATCTGTTTCCCTTTGTTATTCTTCGTATCTAAGACTTTCTATCTTTTTTCTCTGTCAATTTCGATCTGTTTGCTTTTTCATTTTTGTTTCTCAACAGCTGCAGCTTCTTTTTTTTCCATTGCGACTCAAAACCATGTTCGCAATCGACTGACAAACAAACAAGGACACGAAACACACAGTGAAATTCCTCTCGGCCTCTTTTTTAAAATGGGGGTTGAGCCTTTTTCAATGTATGTATTTATTTACGGTTTCTATCAAATCTCATTAGATGATACTAAACTAACATGACATCTTTTTTCCTCCAAACCAATTTAGATGAGAAAATCAGAATCACGCCATATACCCGCATCATCATGTTAACTCTAGTAATTTAGCTTTTTTATCTTGCAACACTGGTTATTCGTCCTTTGAACATTGCTGAAGTTCAAATTGAGTTAGTAACTACATTCTATTCATTGATAAAGTCGAACAGTCGATCATGGACAAAATGTCGACGAACAAAACAACTTGTTAGAGACTAACGGTAGCTACTAACTACTATACATTTTTACAGTAGGCACTTTCGCGATCAAGCGTATTTACATTATGCATGAAACATTCATCAAGGGTCCTTCCATGAGTTCTCAGATTTCTCTACGTGCGTCATAAGAATTTTTGATACTCTGATCCTGATGACCTTTCTCTTTTATGCATAGGGAAAGTAATAAGATTTTTCAAATAAATTACCAAAAAAATGAGCTGAAAGCCTACACATTATTTCTCGCTTTTCACTGGGAACTGGAAAAATTATAAAATCTATCTGAAGGTTTTCTATGACTTTCGAAAACTTTTAGAAGTATCAAAAGATCGGAAACCATCTTTTCATCGTAATTATAGACCGTATTGATTTCCGTTCTCTGTACAAAACATGCGAAAGGCATCAGAAGGTCACGTGTTGTTTAGAATGCCGGGAGTATGTACTTCATCTCTCTTCCTCTTTAGACCTTATTTTCACTTGTTCTCGCCTGATGATGTGATGGAAAAGATAAATAATGGGTCGATTTATTTGCACTGTGGATTCCGATAATGAAAATGGCGGAGAAAAAAGTCACGTGCGAATGAAGGTTCTATAACATTAGGATGGACGGCATAGAAGAAGTAAAATAGATGCAACGCAGAGAAGTGAACTGGCTTAGAGCATTTATAGAATCCATAATCCGATAATTCCATACTTTTAATGGGCCGGGCCGGGCCTGTCATTCCACAAGTTTTGAAAATTTCAAAAAACACATAAGGGGGACCCTTATGTGATTTTTTTCAATCAAAAAATTTTTTCCGAGTTTTGTTGATATTTTTTGATCAAACAGACAAACAATCCAAAAACACAAAAAATATGGAGAAAATTGTATTGAGAGCTCAAAATTTGGCTCAAAATGACAAAATTTTTGCTACCGGGCCTTCCGGGCCGGGCCCGGGCCTTGAAAATTTCCTCGGGCGGGGCCGGGTCGGGCCCGGAATTTTACAAGTATGGATAATTCAAATTCGACGAAATTGAGATATTGTGTGGGCTAGATGTACACATGTTTATGATTTGCGAATCCTCGTACTCTGGGTGTTGCTCAGATGTTTTCGAAATAGGGGAAAAAGAATATTCCAGAAATTCTAAACAAAAATAGCCTGAGAGACACGAGACATGAAAAAGGATATTCCTCTCTTGTTTACTCATAGTTCTCCAACTCACTGCTTCTAGAGAAAAAAGAACTGTACCCCTTCTGTTTTGGAGCACATAATGCATGAAGAAGCACATGACCATCTCGGCACATGTTCTGTTCTTCTATCCTCCTCTTCACCGTCTGTGTCTCTTCAATTTCTGTTGTCCTTCTCAGCATAAAGAATGGGGTCCTCTTTTCTCATCAGAATCACATGACTCATCTTTTAGAGGAGGTCCAATTCGCGCGACTTGTTTACCGGGGGCGAATTCGTCCTTTTTCATTCTTTTTCTCTCTATACAGTAGTTGTGGCGTTCGTCTTTTCATATGTGAATTCTTCTTTTCCTTTCGGTGTCCTCGTTTCTCTCTCTCTCTCTTTCTCTCTTTTTAAGTGTATTGTTCAACTCTATAAACCTTTTTAATTGGTGTCCATTCATCTAGGTATTTTTTTCTCAACTTCTGTCACCTCTGTCGGATTTCCGTTTTTTTTTCGACTGTGATGACAGTTTAAATCTCCTTCTCCTCCTTCTCCCTCTAGTACTTTGAAATGTATTATGATTTGAAAACTGGATATTGAGGCATGGTGTGGAATCCAATTAAAAAATGCAAATCTTCATTTTTGGAAAACTGATAATTGTGGAAGTTGAAACAAAAACTTCAACGCTTTTACCAGTCCATGTCTTTTCAACATCTTCTCTCAAGAAAACGGAACTTGTATCTTTTTTTCTTTGTCTATCGTTTTCCTTATTTGCTCTGGTTTCCTCAATTTACTTTTAGAAAAACATTTTAGCTCCGCCTACTCCAAGCTCCGCCCACTTCAATTTTTCTCAACGAAAGAAAAATCTCGCTTATCCTCAAAGAGCTTTGTGAAAGTTTTTAAAGTTCACACCGCAACGATATGTGAATAATTCGTTTTATTGATAGGCGTTTCTCCTTGTGTGCCTGTTTGTCAGATTTCGAAAAATGCTGGATATCTATTCGGGTGGCTTCCTTCATCCTGACTCGGTTATGTCTATCAATCCTTTCCTGCTAGTTGTAGCTGTTTGTAAGTAGAAAAGAGGATATCATAAAAATGAAAATCACTAAAATAATCTTTAAAAAACTTCTGCTTAGTCTTCTAATTCATGGAAACAATTATAAAAATGACATTTCTTTCATACAGAAACTTATGACTCATCTTGATTTTGTGCTTTTATTTTTTCCAGAAGTTTCTGGCAGTGCTGCAAATGTCTTTCTGGTATTCTGAAAATATGTGATTGACAGGAGTTGAGCAATAGAAACGTCTTGAGTTCTTCTAAAATTCTGGAAAAAATTGAAGAAAATAATAAACTTCAAAAGCGATTAGTACAAAATGTCTCATATAGGAAGAAAGTTCGCGAAAAAATCACGAAATGCTAAACCAATGCATTCTGAATTTTCAGGGAGCTGGTTAAAATGGCTATCACTATCGACGTTGATCATTGGAGGCGGAGCTTATATTGGGTACCTTTTTACTCCCGATTGGAGAGAAATTGTCGATAGCAAGCATTACTATAGTAATTGGAAGGTGAGTTTTCAGAAAAAGTTGTCATTAAAAAATTGTTGAAAACATCGGCGAATTTCTTTCGTAATTAGAAAACTTCAGGCCGAATGATAGTGTATTAAAGTGATCGAGAAAATTGAGGGAATACCTTGTTATTCAAATATAGTTAGACACCACAACAAAATTTTCAAAATAGATTTTTCCCAGTTTTTATTGTTGGATTGTCTTCTCCTACCTTATAGAAGTCCATTCCCAAATTTTCAGCGAATAATATTCATTCAATCCCGAGTTACACACCCTTTTGTACCAGGCCTCAATGTACTGGCTTTCTCCTCATTTTTTTGCGGTGCACAGAAAAGTGGGCGGGGTTTAGAAGCTTGCAATCCTGCGGCGCGGAAAATACGTAAAGAAATTTAAAGAAAAAGCTAATAGACACATGACGGATCCGAACCTCCGACGTCTTCGGTTAGGCGCGCGCGCCCACTATCCAGTCGGCCACGGCTGCACTTGTCGTGTAAGCCCTAGAGGGGATAGAGGAAAGGGCGACTGTTCGTTCCCTGCCGCCTCCTTGCTTTGTTCCTTTCTTCCTGTTTTTTAAACGAATTGCTCTATGAAAAATGAGGAAACAACCGATTTTCTGTATAAGGGCGTCAGTAGAATTTTTAAATCAAGATGGTATTTGATGTCAAATTTTGCGTATTTTTTTATGGAAAAAAGAAAATTGGTGGCACTCACCTGTGTCACCATCAAAACTTCCAAAAACCAAAAATTTAGAAAGTTTGAAAATTTCGGATGGGTATTAAAACTACTTAAAAGTTACCAATCTTTCTGGAACTTGGCAGAGGTATACACAAGACTTAATTTTATCAAAAAAATTTGGGGTCATCGCTGAATTTTTTTTGTATTGTGAAACAAGGGCGTCAGTAGAATTTTGATTTCACTTCAAAATCCAATCCCCCATTTAATAAACTACCAGAATCCATCAAAAAATCTGGTGGCACAAACTTCCATCCAACACTTTTAGTCAAATTTGCCCGTCCAGTTCCTGTTTTTCGAAGTTTTCGAATCAAAATAATGAAATTATCAAAAAAAACTGATGGTTTCATTCGATTTTTCGCAGTCGATTACATAGGGACAATTTCTAACCTGAAAAATAATGAGGTTCTAACGCCCGGTACAAGACTTCAAAGATGGATTTCTGAAAAGGGGAGAAAAATTTGGTCGCCCCGCCCCCTTTCATTGCGGCGCCTAAATATAGAGCCCAGGTTGTATGCGACCTTGAAGTTCTGATGTCCCCGTATTTATTATTCAACGTTTCAAAGCCTAGATTGATGAATCATTGTGAAAGCTTTTTTATGGAATTTTGCTGAAAGTTTGAAGACACCATATCCAAAACAAAACGCTTTTTTTTTAAATATTGACGGAAATCTTAAAAAAAGGGACGATTTTTAATTGTTAGGCTTTTAGACATTGTTTTTAAGCAGTTTGTATCTTTTTAACATGTTTTGAAGTCCGAAAATGTCAGATTGAGATTTTGACTGCAATATATTTTTTCCAGATTCGTGTCTATCTATCTCTCCCTTTTAACACTGCTTCTCGTGTCATTGGTGGTCTAGCCAACCAAGAAATTCCCGTTTGGCTCCGTGAGTATCTTCTTGGTGGATTCGCTCGAATGTACGATTGTCGAATGGAAGAATGCGTCGACCCAGACTTCAACAACTATCCATCATTTGCTGCATTCTTCAACAGGAAACTTCGAGAATCAACTCGTCCGATCTCAGCTTCTCCATTAGTTTCTCCAGCTGATGGAACCGTTTTGCATTTTGGAAAAGTAGAGGAGAATAAAATTGAATATGTCAAGGGACACGATTACGACGTCGATAAGTTTTTAGGAAACGTCGAATTGCCGGAAAAGGAGGAATTGGACTTGTATCAAGTTGTGATTTATCTAGCACCTGGAGACTATCATGCATTCCATTCACCGGCTCGTTGGGTGGCCAATCAATGTCGACATGTACCTGGATTACTGTTGTCGGTCAGACCAACATTGTTGAGCCACGTGCCTCATTTGTTTTGCTTGAATGAGAGGTGAGTAGTTGGTTTCGAAACAAGGGACCTGAAAAAAACTGTTCTCCATAACCAGGAAAATCAAATGTTTTTTCCAGAGTAGTACTCAACGGCTCATGGCGTCACGGTTTCTTTTCAATGTCCGCAGTAGCTGCAACCAATGTCGGTGACATTGTTGTCGACGCAGAACCCTCCCTCCGAACGAATATCGTCCGCCGAAAGACTCAAAAAATCATGAATACGGAAACAGAAATCCATGCTCCGTATCTCCCTGGAGAGCGTGTGGGAGAATTTCGTCTCGGATCCACAATAGTTTTGGTCTTCCAAGCTCCGCCCACTATCAAGTTTGCAATCAAAGCGGGCGATCCGTTGAGATATGGACAAAGTCTTGTTGCGGATGGTGTCTGATTTTTTACATGTTCAAAATCTGTATATGTTCACTTTGCTTAGTTGTTTTCATTTTTATTGTTGCCTTCCATTCAGTAATCTGTTGCTACTTTTTCATCGGGTACAACGCCACTTTATCAATTACTATTGTCTATTCAAAATAATCGCGCGGATGAGCGAGTAAAAAAACGTGTAGAGAGTCTCCAAACCTGTAGAGGCGCTGTAGAGACGCAGACATTTTCACTCGTTCACTCGCGCGATTATTTTGAATAAACAATACTTGCTCTACCACAAAAAATGAATTGCAAAACCAAATTTGATATGCTTTCACATATGAGAGGATGGCTGGTCTCAAGCACAATTTCAGAACTGCAATATAATTTTTAGAGATTATACAGAGCGGTCAATATCTTTAGGACCCCCTTTGATTTTGAAGGTGATTGGAAGCTTGACAGCCGAGCTACAGACTCCCGAAAACAGTCAAAAGTATTGTAAATCAACTGTAAAATATGTTTTTGAATATCATACTGACAAGTTTTACATATCCCTTCATTTGGATTTGCATCGACAACTGGAACATCTGAATAATGAGAGCCCAGCATCTCGTTCGTTGCTCCATATTTGACCTGGAATTTTCAGATTGTTCTGAACTTCGCAACGTAAAGTTCTCTTCGAAAATTTCTGGGGCTTCCAGATTGCACATTTCTCAAGACATCTTCAATCACCAAATTAATCTAACTCTTCTTGAAGTTTACTATCCAATGGGGGAATTCTGAATTCTAGAAATCTTTGAATTGATTTTCATTCTCGTTTCCGGGTTCTTCCAGAATTGGATTATCAGTTGGCTTAGGCTTAGGCTTAGGCTTAGGCTTAGGCTTAGGCTTAGGCTTAGGCTTAGGCTTAGGCTTAGGCTTAGGCTTAGGCTTAGGCTTAGGCTTAGGCTTAGGCATAGGAAGCCTGGGTCAATGACCATGCTTAACGTTGGCTTAACGTTGGCTTAACGATTTGGCCGTTAGTAACGATTTGGCCGTTAGTAACGATTTGGCCGTTAGTAACGATTTGGCCGTTAGTAACGATTTGGCCGTTAGTAACGATTTGGCCGTTATCGAAATTTTGGCCGTTTTCGAAAGTTTGGCCGTTTTCGAAAGTTTGGCCGTTTTCGAAAGTTTGGCCGTTATCGAAAATTTGGCCGTTATCGAAAAAAGCAGCTAATCGCCACATCCCAACATCCCAGTATCCCAACATCCCAGCATCCCAACCTCCCAACATCCCAACATCGAGAAACACAATAAGCCAGTAATCCCTCAAAATTAGATACGCGTTACGAAAATATGCGGTTTAAAACTTTGGCCGACGGCCAAAATTTTAAACAGAAAGGTATTGAAGAATTATGTAATCCCAAAACCCGTATAATTCCAAATTCCACAATCGTGTAAAGCAGCCGGGGCCGAGGTGGGAAGAGAGAAAGACAAGGAACAAGAGGGCAGGCAGGTGCGAGGGTTCGACTCCGGCGGGAGGAACACAATAAGCCAGTAATCCCTCAAAATAAGATACGCGTTGCGAAAATATGCGGTTTAAAACTTTGGCCGACGGCCAAAATCGTAATCAGAAAGGTATTCAAGAATTATGTAATCCCAAAACCCGTATAATTCCGAATTCCACTATCGTGTAAGTTGGGACATTTACCACCAAAATGAGGTACATAGCACTTAGCTGGACAAACAAGGTTAACTTCCAGAAACGACCAGATCCGCACCTTGAGAGGTTTCAATTTGATTTTTTTGGCCGACCGCGACACTTAGGCTACACGGGCACTCGACGTTCACTTTGAATTTGGAAATTTATTGCCGGACACTTTGAATTTGTTTTCGAAACATAGTAAATTTTTAATTTTTTGAATTTTACCGCCAAATATTTTGAATTTGAAAATAAAGTATATTTTTTGATTTGAATTTTGAAATTCAAAATTCCCGCCAACAATTTTTTCTTCACGAGACCCATATTCTTCTCGAGACCCATAATGTTATTGTTTGGAACATTTTAGGCCAATATCCTCATTTTTTCACTTTTTCGACCTGCTGGATGGTGACCCTCTCGGGAGCTCTCGCCGTCTTCGTTTTTTTTTTTAATCAGTTTTTTTCAAATTCGAATTTTGAATTTTGAATTTTGAAATTCAAAATTCCCGCCAACAATTCTTTCTTCACGAGACCCATAATGTTATTTTTTGGAACATTTTAGGCCAATATCCTCATTTTTTCACTTTTTCGACCTGCTGGATGGTGACCCTCTCGGGAGCTCTCGCCGTCTTCGTTTTTTTTTTTAAATCAGTTTTTTTCAAATTCGAATTTTGAATTTTGAATTTTGAAATTCAAAATTCCCGCCAACAATTCTTTCTTCACGAGACCCATATTCTTCTCGAGACCCATAATGTTATTATTTGGAACATTTTAGGCCAATATCCTCATTTTTTCACTTTTTCGACCTGCTGGATGGTGACCCTCTCGGGAGCTCTCACCTTCGTTTTTGTTTGATTCTTCACTGTTGGATAATGTTTTCTTCCGATGAAGAAATTTCGTTAGAGCCAACTGTCCGTTATAGTTCATCGTGGAATCCGACATCATCAGGTAGGAAAGAATAACAAGAGGCGGGGTTTTGACCGTCGGCCAAACTATAGGATTAGTTTTATGGAAAACTGAGAACTCAGAAAAAGAAGGGATTAATTTGGCCATTGGCCAAATTTTTATGCGAGTTATGCGTTAAAGATCGATCGTTTTACAGGTAACTTCCGAGAATATTCATCAAATGAAGATATAATGATTCCATCAACATCATCTCTTTCAAATGATTCTTGCAACACTGCCACTGCATTTAACAAACAGTCACAAGCATTTTCTCGAATTCCGAGGAAAAAGTCATCATCATTTGTTGAGGAAGCCGAGAAACTGCCAAAAGTCGTCCTTAAAAGTCCAAAAAAGTCGACGTCCAAAAAGGAAGATATGATTGGTAAGTAACAGTTATAATGAAAGACATAACCTCCCGGGAGGCCCCCTTTCTCGCACATATTATAAACGCAAACCGCCCCCGCCTCCGGCGGGGCAGCCGGGACCGAGGGGGGAAGAGAGAGGGCCAAGGAACAGGAGGGCAGGCAAATGCGCTGGTTCGACTCCGGCGGGAGTGTACTTACCTGTGTAGGCTTCCCGCTTAGGCTTAGGCTTCCCGCTTAGGCTTAGGCTTCCCGCTTAGGCTTAGGCTTCCCGCTTAGGCTTAGGCTTCCCGCTTAGGCTTAGGCTTCCCGCTTAGGCTTAGGCTTAGCGCTTAGGCTTAGGCTTAGCCTTTCGGCTTAGGCTTCCCCTTTAGCCTTAGGCTTACCGTTTAGGCTTAGCCTTACCGCTTAGGCTTAGGCTTCCCGCTTAGGCTTAGGCTTCCCGCTTAGGCTTAGGCTTCCCGCTTACGGCTTAGGCTTACCCTTTTGGCTTAGGCTTCCCTCTTCGGCTTAGGCTTACCGCTTAGGTTTAGCCTTACCCCTTACGCTTAGGCTTCCCTCTTAGGCTTAGGCTTCCCCTTTAGGCTTAGGCTTAGGCTTAGGCTTAGGCTTAGGCTTAGGCTTAGGCTTAGGCTTAGGCTTAGGCTTAGCCTTAGCCTTAGGCTTAGGCTTAGGCTTAGGCTTAGGCTTAGGCTTAGCCTTAGGCTTAGGCTTAGGCTTAGGCTTAGGCTTAGGCTTAGGCTTAGGCTTAGGCTTAGGCTTAGGCTTAGGCATAGGAAGCCTGGGTCAATGACCATGCTTAACGTTGGCTTAACGTTGGCTTAACGATTTGGCCGTTAGTAACGATTTGGCCGTTATCGAAATTTTGGCCGTTTTCGAAAGTTTGGCCGTTTTCGAAAGTTTGGCCGTTTTCGAAAGTTTGGCCGTTATCGAAAATTTGGCCGTTATCGAAAAAAGCAGCTAATCGCCACATCCCAACATCCCAGTATCCCAACATCCCAGCATCCCAACCTCCCAACATCCCAACATCGAGAAACACAATAAGCCAGTAATCCCTCAAAATTAGATACGCGTTACGAAAATATGCGGTTTAAAACTTTGGCCGACGGCCAAAATTTTAAACAGAAAGGTATTGAAGAATTATGTAATCCCAAAACCCGTATAATTCCAAATTCCACAATCGTGTAAAGCAGCCGGGGCCGAGGTGGGAAGAGAGAAAGACAAGGAACAAGAGGGCAGGCAGGTGCGAGGGTTCGACTCCGGCGGGAGGAACACAATAAGCCAGTAATCCCTCAAAATAAGATACGCGTTGCGAAAATATGCGGTTTAAAACTTTGGCCGACGGCCAAAATCGTAATCAGAA